AGGAAGGGAAGGAGGAGTGGGGAAAGGGAGGCAGGGGAAGAAGGGGCTGGAGTAGGGGATGTGCCTGAGGAGGAAGTCCCAGCTCCCAGGTCTGCCCGCACCAGCTGGGATAATGAAACCTGGGGCCGTGAGATGGGATAGCTGCTCCTCCCCACCCTGGCTCCACCTCAAGGTTCTCCGTGCTCCTGACGGTGGGGTTCTGGCATCACGGGTAGTTCTACTGAGTTTCCTCTGTCCTTCCTTGGTGGGACTTGCCACACCAGGAGGAAACCAGACTCAGCCTGTCATTAAGAAACCACTGACGCATTGAGCCTTGGTAGCAGGACTTGGGCTTTGCTCCCTCAGACAAGTCGTTGGGGGCAAAGGATGATGTAAACCCAGCTGGGGAGGAAAGGGGAAATCCTGTTTTTGAAGGAAATAGCACCTCAAGATCCCCACCACATGGAGTTTCTGGCTCTTGTAGATGCCTGGGGTCTGCTCTGTGTACTGTGAGGACCTCATGGTGGACCAGTGGGTGCACACAAGTAGGCTTGTGCCAAGACTGTGGCATTGTGGCACTTCCGTGGTGCCTGGTTTTGCTTCCTGCATGAGGAATGCTTCTTCCTGAGCAGATCACTCAGGGCATTTCTTTCCTGCATGCCTGGGACCAGAGACACATACCTGAATTCCATGTGACCTGCTGCCAACCCTCCCAGCCTGTGCCCTCTAAATGATGTAGCTATTCATGGGACCTCAGCCAGGCCGTCTGGGACTTCTGTCCCTGTGCCATGGCAGAAGCGTCATCCCTTCAGAAGGACAGAGGAAGGTGAGGTGTAAGGTCAAAAACTAGATGGGTGAGTGGGGAGTGGTCTGTGATCAGTGCCATGCAAAAGATACAAAGGATGGCGCAGAAGTAAGATTGGAAAATATAGTTTATTTAGAAAGTAAATTGGAGAGAGAGAAAGAGAGAGAGAGGAGGTTCACCTTCCCAAGGTAGGGGAGGGGGCCAAAGCTAGGAAAGCAATGGCAGCCATAGCTCACTGAGCCACTAGACCACACCAGAATTTAGCAAAGCAATGGCAAATGGCTGGTTGAGGTTGAATGCCTTTAAACCTTCCCTTTGATTGGGGGAGTTCGTTAAGGTGATTGGGTGATGGTCTGTTTCATGTCATCATGAAGGCCAGGTAAGCACACATACTGTCAGGTGATGGACAGCAGGCAGATGGGTGGGTTAGTCACATGATTGCTGCCATGTTGATGGGCATCTGTGTCATGAAGGTCAGGAAGAGCTAATTAGATTGATTTATTTACAAAACAAACTGGGGAGAGGATTGTAAAACAATTATCGATAGCTACCTCTGAGAAACCAGTTCTGTCCTTGGCTAGAGATTAGAGGACAAGTTAAAGTGAACTGCTAGAAAAACATGACAAAGCTAAGCAATGTTAAAATGGCAACTCTTTGGCTATATGGACTCCATTTATGTCTTTTCATGAGGAGTCTGGCTAGTTAGAACGTCCGTGTGATGTGGTAGAGCTCAGCCCAGCAGTGACTCCATGTCTCTGTCTGTCATGGTGGAGAGCACACCTGTGTGTCAGGGGACCCTGGAACACTGACAGGAAGGGCACTTGGACTGGGTCAGGTTGTCCTGGGATTGGAGCTTCAGCTGTACATCCTGCTGCCTGACATCTGACCAGGGCTGTGTCCCAGCTGGAACTAGAGTCCAGCACCTGCCTTCTGTTTTTGCTGGTGTACAGGTATGAGCTCCATACTGTGGAATTTGCATGGAATGACTGTCTGCCTGCTTCCAGGCCACCTAGCCCCCTGTGGTTCTGTGTATTGGAGGTGAGAAAGAGGATGCAAAGGAGAAGTGCAGGCCCTGCTGCTCCTTGGGGGCTGACCAGCCCCCTCCCAGCGTGGGCTCAGGAGGGGCCTGGGCTTTCCCTGTGGTTGGAGTCTCCCCCTACCTGATTTTCCTCCCAGCAGCCACAGAGCAGCTCTAGGCTCCAATTCTCCTTCCTGGGAGCTGGGCTCAGGCATACCGTTCTGCAGCCTTTCCCCACCTGGGGGCCGTTGGATACTGCAGTGAGGCTACTGGTCCTCTCCCTGGACCTCACCTGGCACCCCAGGGTGTTCCAAACTGAAAACTCTTTGGCTTTGCCAGATTTTTTTTTTTTAAGTTGGAGTCTTACTCTGTTGCCCATGCTGGAGTGCAGTGGCACACTCATGGCCACCCCAGCATCGACCTGCTGGGCTTAGGCAATCCTTCCGCCACAGCCTTCCAAGTAGCTGGAACTACAGGCACATGCTACCACGCCCAGCTAACTTTTATTTATTTATTTATTTATTTATTTATTTATTTATTTATTTATTTATTTAGGAGACAAGTCTCGCCAAGTTGTCCAGGCTGATCTCGAACCTGTGGGCTCAGGCAGTCCACTCGCCTCAACTTCCCAAAGTGTTGGGATTATAGGCTGAGCCACTGAGGCTGGCCTGAGCCACTGAGGCTGGCCTGAGCCACTGAGCCTGGCCAGCTTTGCCAGATTTTAAAGTGGGAACTGAAAGTCTTCTTTCCAGGTTTGGGATGCTTGCTTTGAGGCTGTTTCATTGAAGGTATTTTGAAAGCTGTTTCCAGTTAATTTTGTATGGCTACTCTGTGAGAAGTGACACTGTCTGTCAAAGCAGGTGTGATTATAAAGTGGCTATTCCTGGTGGGTGTGATTATAAGGTGGATGTTCCTGGTGGGTGTGATTATAAGGAGGACATTCCTGGCGGATATGATTATAGGGTGGACATTCCTGGCAGGTGTGATTTTAGGTGGGTATTCCTGGTGGGTGTGATCATAAAGCAGATTTAGGCTCTTGCAGAATGACAAGACCCTCATAGCAGAGCATGGTGGGCTTGAGAGGAAGTTGGGTGTGGATTCTGGCTCTTTCTGCCCACGGGCCCCTTTTGCTCTTCTGTTTTCCAGGCTGTAGCCCTGACTCCTGCCTGGACCTGACCTACCCAGCTTCAGCCCCACCGTCTCTTGCAGACCCTCCTGCAGGCTGCCCCAGGGGACAGGCCCCTCCCCTGGCATATAAGTGAGATGGAGGGACTGGGTCCTGTGTCCTCAGTGTCAGGGAGCTCCCTCAGGCTCCAAAGTCTGGTCCAATGAACTGTGAAAGGTCATGAGTCCGAGTTAAGCACATTTGATGCTGGGAGCATGTAGGAGGGTGGCATACAGGACAGGACAGCTAGGGTAGTGGGTGACAGTTGTTCATGTGTGCTCACCAAGGAGGGATGAATCGGACCTTTGAAGGCAGTTTGCACCAGTGACCAGTCCTGGTGATCCCCTCTGTGTCTCAGGCATGAGGGCGCTGGCCCAGCAGGACTAACCGCAGCCCCTGGTGTTTGACCTCACACCCCAGGGTGTGGCCATCACCAGAGAGTGGGAGCCCTATGGGGAAAGCCCTCCCCTCTGGGTTGGCTCCTTCTGGACCTTCTCAGTTCTGCCTGCTGCTTTGGGTAACCAACAGCTGCTTGCTGGATTCCTACCTCACTGCTGCATGCCTGGGGGCAGGGCTTCTGGAACCCTGACCAGGTGTAGGCCCTGGCTTCTCTCTTCTGTCTGAGGCCACAGAGAAGTTGAGGGGTGGGCTGGGGGACTGGCCAGGGTCAGGGTGTGACTCCCAAGCTCCTGGGGTATCCCAGACCTACTAGGGTGTCACTGATCTCCTGGGGTGTCCCTCTGGCCCACTGGAGTGGCCCCTGACCTCCTGAGGCATCCCTTGACCTCTTGAGATATCCCTGATCTCCTGAGGTATTCTTGACCTCTGAAGTGTCCCTCAATCCCCAAGGTATCCCCCAACCCCTTGGGATGACCTGATATCCTGGGTTGTCCCTAACCTCTTAAGGTATCCCTGACCTCCTGGAGTGGCCCTTCCTGGGGTATCCCTGACTTCTTGTAGTGTTCCTGGCTTCTGGGAGTGTCCCTGACCACCTGAGGTATCTGACCTACTGGGATGTCCCCAGCCCCCTGGTGTCTTTGACCTCTTGTGATGCCCATGACCCCTGGGTCACCCACTGACCTCCTGTTTGTGTCTCTACAGCATCAAGATGGTGCTCATGTGGGCCAGTGGTGATGCCTTCAAGACGGCCTACTTCCTGCTGAATGGCGCCCCACTACAGTTCTCCGTGTGTGGCCTGCTGCAGGTGTTGGTGGATCTGACTATCTTGGGGCAGGCCTATGCCTTCGCCCGCCATCCCCAGAAGCCAGCACCCCATGTCACACATCCTGCCAGTGCCAAGGCCCTCTGAGGGGGGAGTGGGACGGGTGACCACCAGCCGCAGGCACTGGGGGACCCCTGTCCTCTTGTGTGGGTGTGGGCACTACGGCCCCCATGGGTGTGGGTAAGAGGTGGTGTTCAGGTGTCAGGATCTCCACCAGCCTCTGTGAGGGGCTCCAGTGGGCAGAGGGGCCAGGGGCCATCACAGGGATGGCCAGCACGGACCTGACCTCTGAGGATGGGTTTCGGGTGTTTTTAAGGTAATGGAAAAAGTGAGTGTTTTTTCCCATTTCCTCTCAAAAACACCTGAGATGTGACCACAAACAGAATGGTTCCGATCTTGCCAGCTTCCCCATGGGCCAAGAGGCCTCTGGGTGGGAGACGAGGAGACATGGCATCAGGAGACTCTGCGAGTCCCATGAGCAGAGCCTTGGGACCCAGAGCAACCCTGACCGGATGCCCTGGTTGGACATGTGTGGCCTCTGCTGCCTGGGCTGTATGGAGGGCTTGGAGGCCATAGGATGCAGGACACCGGCACTCTGGTTTTCTGACAGTCAATTGTAGATGCCAGGGTATGGCAGGCTCATGTCCAGCCTGTCTAAACATTGCCAGAGCCAGCTGAAGGGTGCTCACCTCAGAGTTTTCAGTTCCCTTGGAATCCTGAGGATGTGGAAGGTGGGAAGGACCTCCAGGCATATGCGAGGCCCCCCTGAGGGCATGTGGAAAGGCCCTGAATGCTGCCCTGAGGAGGGCCCTGTATGTGGAGATTCTCTTCCTTCTGGGCAGTTTGGTGTCCATCTTCCAGGACAGAGACACGGAGGTCAGGGGTGGGGATACAAGTTCTGGCCCCCAACCTGCCACCCTGGGCTCTGGGGCCTGAAACACCTCCTGGGTGGTGGCGTGGCCTGGCTACATGGCCCTTCTGCCGTCCCCTGTCTACTGCCTGGGCATTGTGGCTCTCTCATGGTTCTGGCTGCAGTGGGAGCCATGGGTCTGACTGTTGTCACCCCGTGCCCTGCCCCTGCCTCTGTTTCAGTTGAACACAGAGTCAGCTGGCCCTGTCCTGAGCCACCCTGGAGCTCTGGATGCTTCTGTGCAGCTCCCACGGCCATGTCTTCCCTTCCGCCGGCGGAGGGGCCGCTCCTGCCTGTCCCTGTGTTGACACCGGCGGGAAGATGCTCGATGTGTTTCCTCCACCAGAGTTTTCCTCAGAAAACTCTCGAATGTCTGAGCGAGGATCTTGCTTAGCTCTTTGGCCTGTAAGATGCTTTGAAAATTTTATTTTTTTAAAATGAAGGTAGTGGCAACTGCCCCCAAATTAAATGTCACCGACTGCAGGCTCGGCGGCTGAGTGAATGTACCCCCGGGGGCAACTTGGAATCAATAAAACTGTTTGGATCCAGCATAGCCTGAGTAGAGTCTGAATGGAGTCCCCTGACAGAGAAGCCCACCCTTGCCTTCCCTGATTGCGACCACGGGTTCCTTAAAGGATGGATGGTGTCTTGTTTAATGGCCAAGAGAAGCATTTCCAGGTTTGCGATCACAAGGTTGGGCCAGGGAAGGGCCAGCCACACAGAGTGTGAGGTGGGAAGGGTGTCAGCAGTTTGCTTTCTTCATTGGGGGGGCAAGTATGAGCTTCTCTTCCCCCCTAAAACTGAAAACTCAACCCAACACAACCTGAAATGCCCTGAGACCCTAAATCTGTATTTGTACAGCTCTTCCTCTCCACGAGAATGGTGTTTTGGAAATGGAACAAATGGTGATGCCCTCCACTCTGCTGCCCCAGGGTGGGTGTAGGATCAGGGGAGCCTCGAGCCCCAGGGGGAGCCTGAGGCAGTGGCAACATTCCCTAGATGACCAGGGCGGTTGGGTCTGTTTTGGCCGCAAACATGGGGATTCAGACCCCCAACATGGACAAGGAACATGTTCAGCTTGGTGCCCCATCTCATCAGTCCCCAGAAGCACACACGGGACAGGGAGGGGGAGGGAAGGATCAGGGCAGGGGGAAGGTGGAGGGAAGAATGGAGCAGGTCAGGGAGGTAGGTCGAAGGGTGAGTGCAGGGTCGGGGGAGGGGACGGAAGGAGGGGTGGGTACAGGGCAGGAAAAGGTGGGTGCAGGGTAGGGGAAGGTGGGTACAGGTTGGAAGAACGGGGAATGCAGGGAGGCGGGTAGGGGCAGGTGCAGGTCAGGTTGGGAGTGAAAGGGTGGGCAGGTTGGGGGACAGGGGACCTTGCCAGTGCAGGGCAGCATGGGGACTGGGTGGGGCAGGTAGAGTTTGGGTTTGTGTCCATCAGGCAGCCTGGGGACGGTGGGGGAGAGGGGGCTTGGACTGAGGCCAGTGAGTCCTGGACCATCTCAACACTCCTCCCTTACATGCTGGGGCAGAGCAACCGAGATTGTTTCAACACTCATTCCCTCCTCACATGCTGGGTCACAGCCAGGAGACCAGAGTCCCACGGCAGTGACAGGGATCATGAATCTTCAGGACGTGGAGCGATGGTTCCTGGGAACCACTCTGGACCAACTCTGGTCTCAGCAGCAAGGAAACTGAGGCACCAAGAAGCAACACAAGAAAGGGTCTCACACAGCACTTGGGGTGGTGAAGCAGCTGCGTTTCTAACAACAGCTTAGTTGCTGTGTTCTGTGGTGCCTTTTGGTCATTTTAAACAGATGCAGTGATGGAGTGGCATGCATGGATCTGTTCTCATCGAAGGGGGGCAGGGAAAGCTGGGGAACCTGGGGAGTTCACATAACCCTCACCCAGATGGAGAAATGGAGGTCATAGCACATGTGGGACTGCCCTGAGCCCCAGCTTGCCTGCCCCTCCTGGAAGCCTGTGGTGAGGCGGCGCCCCATGTCTTTAGAGGGAAGAGGGAGCCAGGAGGCTAAAAATGTACCCCACACCCCATTCTTGGTAGGATTGGCTGACACCCCATCCCAGGGACCCAAGGTGGCCTTGCGCTCTGGGGGACCCTGGTCTGGAAGGGCTCCTGGGCTCCCCAGCCAGCGCCACTGCAGCCTGGGGTAGGAGGCCGAGACCTGTGTCATCCATCCCCAGCCTTTGCCTGGCTCTTCGGGGGACAACTTGGGTTTATTTCTGGGATCTTCACAGTGAAGGTGGGACCCCTGCACAGGAAGCACCACTGTCCCTGGGGGTTGCTGCAGGCTCTGTGTGGAGCCTTGGGCTGTCCTTGGGCACAGGCCTGTGTGTCACTCCTGAGCAAGACCAAGGCTGTCACTGAGGGGGCAGCCATGTGCATGGTACTGTCCCTGGGCCCACCCTTGGTGGGGTGTCCACTGACCTATGTGCAGGAGGCGAGGTTGGGTCCAGGGTGCTCTAGGTGACATCAGCTGCCATCCCTTCATTGGAGAGAGGTGCTGCCTGGTACCTGCATGTCCCCTGCCCTTTCTCTACACCTGTCTCCCCTACAGACCACTGCTGGCCTTGACCTGGAGGTGTGTGGCCCAGCAGGGAAAAAGAAGGGGACCTGGTTCCAGGGATGGGTGCTCAGCCATGCCCCTCTGGGCAGGGAAGGCCTCAGGGAGGGGGGCTGTCATTGCCCCTTGGGTCAGGCTGTACCCATATGAAATGGGGTGCTTTATGCCCCAGGGAGCTGAAAGGAGGATCTGTGAGAAAGTGGACATGTGGGGGAGAGGTGCCTCTGCACTAGTTCCTGGGCAGTCTGACCCTGTAGGAGCCAAGTGTTTCTGTTTCCCTGCATCCCAGGGCCCGCATCTCTTGTCCCAGAGCCTTGACCGGTACTCAGCAGGTGGAGCTGGGCACCATGTATGCCAGTGCATGGCCGGGCACAGGGTAGGGGAGACAGAGCTGGGAGCCAGTTTGTGTCACGGTGGTCCAGGGCCCAGGTGCAGGTGGAAATCCCAGCCCGTTTCAGCCCTGCGCTCTGGTCCTGGCATCCCGAGGATACCCAGCCCTGCCTGGGATGGCAGGTGACCACATGATGCTGGGCTTTCTGCAGTCACAGATTTGGGATTCCATGCACTCAACAGGTTGAGTGTGCGGACAGAGGGGCCCTGGCTGTTCCTGTGTCTTCTGACTTCCCCGATCACAGGAAACCCCCTTTCTGGCCCCAGGAACCTCAGGCCCACAGACCACAGGCGATGCCCCGGAGGAACTCAGCTGAGAGCTGTCTGGAGAGGCCAGTGTTCTTTATTGGGCTGCAGTAGAGTTAGGAAATGCCTGCAGGAGGCAGGCCCCGTTCTTTTGGCTCCTGCCCATGCCAGGGGCCTCTCTAAAAGCTGCCTCATAAGGGACAGGGACTTTCTAGGTGACACAGTTTCTCTTCCTGCTCCGGTCTGTCGTGTGATGTCCCAGGTGGCCTGGCTGAGCGGTTATGATGAAAAAGTCCAAAGTAGCAAGATTTGGGAAGAGCCTTCCTTCCACCCACAGAGTTGGGCTCACGCATGTGTCCCTGCAGGAGTCTCCACCCTTTCGTCCTGGAATCTCTTCCTCCTGCAGCCTCATTTGGAAGGTAGAGGTTCTTCCTTTCTGGAGTCTTAGGGACATGTTCCTGCAGGGGAGATGGATCCCATGGCAGGCTCCTGTCCTGGAAGGGCAGGAAAGGGTTAAAGTGCCCTCACACACCTTGAGCTCTGCAGCCTCTGCCACTGCCAGGAGGGAGCCAGTGTACCAGGAGACCCCGGTCATTTTCCCTGAGGTCAAGCCACAAAGATCCACAAGGAGAGAGTGTCAGGGGATGGAGGACTGGGCCCGTCCTTCTCCCAAGGGTGGTTACTGGAAGGCAGCAAGCACCACATCAAACCTCTGACTCATCACTGGGCAGGTGACACGGACTTTGGGGAGCTGGATGGGGAGGGGCCAGGAGGGCTGTGCCCCACCTTTTCCTGGGCTGCCTGGCAGAAGGGGAGAGGACAGGAGAGGCCGGGGCAAGGGTGATGTAGGCAGCTGCAGCAGGCTTGGAATTTCTGGGATTTGGTGCATTTATTTTAGCTAGCTGTGGAAAATTCAAAATCCAAGGAAGATAAATGGCAGAACAAAGGCTAGGCACTGTCTCTAGGAGTCACTGGTTCCTCAGAATGCAGGCGGCCCTGTCCACCTCGGGGGTCAGGCTGAGGGGACCTGGCTCTGCCTGGGGCTGTGTGGGTGACATGACACAGGGCTCCCAGGAGCCATTCCCAGGATGACACGCCCCCTCCCTGGAGTGACACGTCTCCTATCCTGGAATCATACATCCCCATTCCCTGAGGTGACATACACTCTTCTTCAGGGTCAAATGCCCCTCCCCGGGGTGACATGCTCCCTCCCCAGAGTGATATACCCCACCCCGAGGTGACACGTCCCTCCTAGAGTGACACACCCCCTCCCTGGGGTCACATGCCCCTTCCTAGGGTGACATGTCCTCTCCCCTGAGGTCACACTCCCCCTCCCTGAGTCTCTTGTCACTTGCCAGGTCAACTGGCCCCTTCCCCGGGATCACACGCCCCCTCCCCCGGGGTGAAACGCCCCCTCCCCAGGGTCACACGCCCCTTCTTCTCTGTGCGTTGGGCGACCCCAACACTTAAGCGGGTAGGGAGGTGTACCGGTCCTGGCGACAGGGTCAGAACGGCCCGGTACGCTCCCACAGCGCGTCCGCGGAGTCCCCAGACAGGCCTATGCCGTCGGGGCCCTGCGAGCCGTCCTCGGTGGCCGAGGCCGAGCGCGTGCTGTCCTCGCGCAGGGTGGGCTCGGGGCTGGCAGCGCGCTGCTGCTGCTCCTTGAGCTCCGAGTAGGAGCGCGAGAAGGTGTGGAAGATGGAGGTGACCGGGAAGGCCATGAGCAGGATGCCGCTGAGGATGCTGCTGAGCGCCACCACCTGGCCGGGCAGGCTGCGCGGCACCATGTCGCCGTAGCCCACGGTGGTCATGGAGATGACGGCCCACCAGTAGCTGGCGGGCACGCTGGAGAAGTCGCGGCGCGCGCCCAGCTCGCGCTCGGCCAGGTGCACCAGCGGCGCGAACAGCGCCATGGCCACGCACAGGAAGAGCAGCAGCAGTCCGAACTCGCGCGCGCAGCGGCGCACGGTCAGGCCCAGCGAGCGCAGCCCCAGCGAGTGGCGCGCCAGGCGCATTACGTAGAGCACGCGCAGCGCGCGCAGCAGCCGAAGCGCCAGTCCCGCGCGCTCCAGCAGCTTGCTGCCGCCGGCGCCCGCCGCCAGCCCCACCAGCAGCGACACGTAGAAGGGCAGGATGGCCAGGATGTCGATGATGTTGAGTGGCGTCCGCAGGAAGGCGCACTTGCTCTCGGCCTGCAGCGAGCGCAGCAGGAACTCGAAGGAGAACCAGGCCACGCACACCGTCTCCAGCACGAAGAGGTTGCGGCACTTGGGAGAGCACTCGCCCTGGGGAGGAGAAGGAACACCGTTGGGGGCGCTGGCGGCAGGGAGGTGGGGGGTGGGGACAGGACACCTGTGCCCGGCCTGTCCCGGGACTGGCTGCCCTTACTCCCACCCCAGACCATGAAAAGGTGCGACTGCAGGGGGCAAGGAATGCCGAGAAGAGGCCCACTTCCTGTAGAAAACAGAAAAAAATATTTAATTGGAGAATGCGCGTCTGGCGGGAGAGCTGATGAGTTCAGTGGACCCAGGAGACTGGTGAAAATCATGTACAAACCTCTAACCATTTAAAGCCGCTGAAAATGGTCTTAAGAGCAAACAGCAAATGAAGAAGCATTCGCTTAAGAGAAACTGTGGAAAGACAGCCAGAAAGGTGAGAGTCTGTGGTATGTGAATCAAGACTGCATCCTCCCTCCCATCTCAGGGGTGACTCCATTGGGGCAGGCTGCAGCCAAGGACATAGGCTCCTTTCCCACCTCCCAGACCAGGGCTTTCTTCCCCAGGAAGGGCCAGGCACCAGCATATCACATCCTGCTCTCAGCTGCCTGTTGCTGGGGCTAGGTCCTGGGGGAGTCCAGTGGAGAGGAGGGGGCTCCCTTCTCCTGCCCACACTCATGGACAGGAAGCTGGACCTTGGTGTGGTACACTGAGAAGGCAGGTCCTCACTGCCCTTGTGGCTCACTAGGCCATGACTCCAGGCCATGAAAGGCAAGCCAGGGTGCTGCCCCATCAAGCACTTCCTCCTAGAGATGAGGTGTCGTTCTGACTGAGAGATGCCATTGTCCTTATTCCAGCTCCAGAACCTTGGCTCCAAGACATTGCCTGGAGGGAGAGACAGGAAGTGAGAGATAGTTCCTAATCTCTTCCCGAAAGAACTGGCTTCATTCACAACAGAACATGGAGATGTTTTCACCTAAGGATGCTCTCAGGAATAGTGGAGGTGGTGGTGAAGGGGATTAGGAGACTCATAGTGTCCTGAAGATCAGCCTAGACCGTGGGCTGGCTAGTTTTCAGGAGAGAACCAGGGAGTAAGATGATGGGATGCGCCCTCCTGAGGTCAGAACAATATCAGACAGACTTCAGAAATCACTGAGAAGGAGTTGCAACACGATTAGTTTGTAGAGGAATCTATGCTTGAGGCCATTGTTGAGAATAATAAAGCTATCACCTGGCTATCAGTGGAATTTAAAAACTGGGTGTGGACAGTGAAAGAAAGGAAGAGATTGCTATCAAAACCCTGTCATCCCAGGGTGACTGTGGACATACTCAAACTGCTCTAACACAGATGCTCAACATTGTTGGAGGGTGGGGGGGTATTAGTCTTACTAAACCAGCCACTAAAAGAATAAATAAGTGAATAACAAGCCTAGGATCTGAGAAGGGGTACCCAAAGTTGCTAGAATATAGTTTCCCAAATGTCCAGTTTCCATCAAAAAATTATAATAGGGGAGGAGGAGGAGGAAAGAGAGAAGGAGAGAGAAAGAAGGAAAGTATGACCCATACATTAGGAACAAAGCAGGCAACAGAAACTGCTTGCAAGAGTGACCAGATGTCTAATTTAACAGAAATAAGATATCTAAGCAGCCATTATAAACATGTTCACAAAACGAAAAGAAGCACAATGACAATGCCACAAGTAGGGATGATCAATAAAGAGATGGATATTTTAAAAAAATAACCAAATAGAAATTCTGGAGTCAGAAAGTACAATAATTGAAATTTTAAAAAATTTAAAAATCACTAGAATAGTTTAACAGTATATTTGAACTGGCAGAAAAAAGAATTCACAAACATGAAGTTAGCTTGATAGGAATTATGCAAACCAAAGAAGAGAGAGAAAAAAGAATAAAGTAAGCAGGCCTCAGGAAATGTGGGTCACCACTATGTGCTCCAACATATGCAAAACTGGAATACAAGAAGGACAGGAGAGAAGAGAGAACAACAGCAACAAAAAAAATTCAAAGAAATAATGGCCGAATAACTCCCAAATTTATCAAAAACAACCTACATATCCAGGAAGCTCAATGAACTCCAAATAGGATAAACATAGAGACCCACAAATAGAAACATCATGACCAAAAAAAATGAAAGTCAAGGACAAGAAGAAAATATCAAGAGTAGTACGAGGAAACTGGAGACCACTTACAAGGGAATCTCAATAAAATTAGCAGCTAACTTATAAGCAGAAAACATGGAGGCCAGAGGCAGTGGAATAACATATTCAAAGTGCTCAAAAATCCCACCTGTCAACCAAGAATACGATACCCAGCAAAGCTACTATTTAAAAATGAAGGTAAAGTGGTACATAGACACAATGGAATATTACACAGCCATAAAGAAGGACAAAATTATGAACTTTGCAGCAACTTGGATGGATTTAGAGTGTATAATACTCAGTGATCTATCACAGAAACAAAGAACTTGAGTACCACATGTTCTCACTCATAAGCGGACCTGAACAATTGCCATAATACTATAAGAAAGGGATTGGCAGTAGTGGGAAGCTGCTGGGACAGTGGCGGGGTTGTGGGGGCGTGGGGCGTGCACACACTTCATCAATAAGCGGACCTGATCTCAAACTAGGTAATGTGGGGACAAAAGTGAGGCCCAAACTTTACCTGTACAATGACCATTTGTATACCTAACCCTGAATTGTACTCATTGTTAAAATACAATTTTTTTTAAAAATGAAGGTGAGAAATAAACACTTCCTCAGGTAAAAAAAAACTGAGAGAATTTGTTGCTAGCAGACCTGCCTCATAAGAAATACTAAGGGAAGTGGTTGAGGCTGAAAGCAGATGACCCTAGATGATTGTCTGAATCCACACAAAAGAAGAGCCATCAGGAAAGGTAATTATGTAATTAGAAAAGGCACCATAAAATGCATTTTTTCTCTTAACTGATTTGAAAATCAACTGTGGAAAAATTGTATGTATATAATGTATATGGGGGCATATTGCATATAGAAATATATATGCAGTGTATTTGTCAATAAAAGCACAAAAGAGATGTGTGGGAGCAAAGCTGTAATGGTTTAAGGAATGACATATAGTAAAGCAGTAATTACAACAATGAACTGTTGGGTTTGTAACATTAACAGATGTAATATGTATAACGACAATATCACCAGAAAGGAGAAAAGGGAATACAGCTATATAGGTGTAACATTTCTATATCTCACTGGAATTAAGCTAGTACAAACCTGATACAGATTCTAGAACAACCACTAAAAAAAAAAACAAAAACAAAAAAACTTTTAAAATACTAAAAATGTATTAGTAAAATTAAAATGCTACCTTAGAAAATATTTGCTCAGTGCAAAACAAGAAGAAATAAACAAAAAATACACAAGACATATAAAACAAAAATAAGATGTCAGACATAAATCCAACATATACATGAGAACATTAAGTGTGAATTAAATATACAATTAAAAGGCAGAGATTACACTGGGTTTTTAAAAAATAATGTAAGTATATGTGCCTATAGGAGATACACTTTAGATTCAAAGACATAGATACAATAAAAGGATGGAAAAAGATATGTCATCCAAACAGCAACCATAGGAAATCTAGAATGACTACACTAAGAGCAGACAAGATAGACTTTAAAACAATATGTTTTATTAGAGATAATAAAGGATAATTTATAATGATAAGTCAATCCGTCAAGAAGAAATAATCGTTTTTTTCCTTTTTTTTTTTTTTTTGAGTCAAGGCCTCACTCTGTCACTAAGGGTGGAGTGCAGTGACATGATCATGATGATCGTGGCTCATGGCAGCCTCGACCTCCTGGGCTCAGGTGATCCTTACACTTCAGCATCCCAAGTGGCTAGGACTAGACACACACCACCATGCCTGACTTTTTTTTTTGTAGAGATGAGGTTTTACTATGTTGCCCAAGCTGGTCTTGAACTCCTGAGCTTGAACAATCCACTCACCTTGGCCTTCCAAAGTGCTGGGATTACAAGTGTGAGCCACTGCACCTGGGCAACAGTTAAAACATATATACACCCAAAAATAGAACACAAAGTATGTGAAGCAAAAACTGAACAAAAACAGAAAAGGAGAATTAGATATTCAGTAATTGTTGGAGCTGGGCACAGTGGCTGATGCCTATAATCTCAGCACTTTGGGAGACTGACGTGAGAGGACTGCCTGAGTCCATGGGTTTGAGACCAGCCTGGGCAACTTGGTGAGACCGCATCTCTACAATAAATCAAAAAAATTAGCTGGACATGGTGGTGTGTGACTGTAGTTCCAGCTATTTGGAAGGCTGAGGTGGAAGGATTGCCTGAGCCCAGTAGGTCGAGGCTGTGGTAGCCGTCAGCGTGCTATGGCACTCCAGCCTGAGCGATAGAGTGAGACTCCAACTAAAAAAAAAAAAATTGTTGGACACTTCAATATCCCACTTTCAGTAATGGATAGAACCACTACACCAGAGAATCAAGGATATAGAAGACCTGACCAACACACTGTAAGTCAAACAGACCTCACAGACATTTATAGGACACTTCACCCAACAACTAAATATACATTCTTCTAATGTGCTCATGGAATGGTCTCTAGAGTAGACTGTATACTAGGCCATAAAACAAACCTCAATAAATTTAAAATGATAGAAAGAATACAAGTACATTCTCTAACTACAATAGAATGGTACTAGAAATCTGTAACAGGAAAAAATTTGGAAGACTCACAGATATGTGGAAATTAAACAACATATTCCTAGATAATCAGGGGGCCAAACAAGAAGTCAAAAGGAAGTCAGACTTGGAGATGAATACAAATGAAGACACAATATACCAAAACTTATGTGACGTAGCTAAAATAGTGCTTAGAGGGAAATTTATAGCAGTCAACAATGCCTACAAGAAAGAAGACTTCAAATTAATAAGCTAACATTCCACCCTAAGCTAGAAAAAGAAGAGTAAATAAAACCTGAAGTGAGGAGGAAGGAAATAATAAAGGCTAGAGCAAGAATTAATGAACTAGATAATGGAAAAACATAGAGGAAAACCAATGAAACCAAAACCTGGTTCTTTGAAAAAATCAACAAAATTGACAAATCTTGAGCTAGTTTGGCCAGGAGAAAGAGAAGACTCCAATGACTAGAATCAGAAATAAAAGATACATTACTTATAGAAGTAAAAAGGATGATAAAGCAATACTATGAATAACTGTGTGCCAACAAATTAGATAACTTAGATGAAATGGATAAATCCCGAGAAAAGCAAGCTACAGAAACAACTTAGGAAGAAACAATCTGAACAGATCTATAACAAGTGAAGGGACTGAATCAGTAACAAAGTACCCACATAGAAAAGCCAAGGCCCAGATACTTTATTCTGAATTCAACTAAACATTCAAAGAAGCATGAGTATCAATTCTTCATAAACTACCAATAAAAACAGAAGTGAAGGGAATGTTTCCCTGCTCGTTCTATCAAGCAAAGATTACCCTGATACAAAAACCAGATAAAGTCATCACATGAAAACAACAGATCAATATCTGTTATGAATACCAATGTAAAAATCTTCAACCAAATATTAACAGACTGAATTCACCAGCATGTAAGAAGAATTAGACATCATAACTGAGTTGGATTTACCCCAGGGATGTAAGGTAGATTTAACAACTGAAAATCAATTAATGTAACACATCATATCAATATCATAAAGACCAAAAATCACATCATCATTTCAGTGGATGCAGAAAAGGCTTGTGACACAATCCAATATCTTTTCATGACAAACACACTCAGCAAACTAGAAACTTCCTCAAAAAGAGCATCTATAAAAACTCCATGGTTACTACCATACTTAATGATGAAAGACTCAATGCTTCTCCCTAAGATCAGGAATGAGACAACAATGTCTGCTCTTGTCACTTCCAGTTAGCATTATACTGAAAGTGCTAGCCAGGGCACTTAGGTACGATAAATAAGTAAATTGTATACATACTGGAAAGGAAGAAATAGGACTTTCTATTCACAGATGACATCACCGTACATAAAGAAAATCCTTAGGAATTCACTAAAAAAACTATTTGAACTAATAAATGGGTTCAACAAAATTGTAGGATATGAGATCAATATACAATATTATATCTATACACTTGCAATGAACAATCTGAAAATGAAATTAATAATTCTACTTATAGTAGCATCAACAAGAATAAAATACATCAGAATAAACTTTACAAAACAAGCACAAAACTTCTGTTTTAGCAACTACAAAACACTGTTTAATGAAAACCCAAATAAGTGGAAAAAAATCCCATGTTCGTGGATCAGAAAATTTACCACTGTTGAGACAGCAATACGCACCCAAGTGATCTACAGATTCATTGCAGTCCTCATTAGAATCCCAGCTGATTTGTTTATACAAATTGATATGCTGTTTCTAAAATTCATATGGAAATGCAAGTTACCAAAAGATCCCTTTTTGGTAAGATGCCAAAATCCTGAAGAATGAAGTTGGAGGACTCACTTCCCAGTTTCAAAACCTTACTTCAAAGTAGTGATAATCAATGTAATGTGGTGCTGACATGGGGCCAGACATATAGATCAATGGGACAGAACTGGACATCCAGAAACAGACCCTCATGTCTATGGCCAACTTATTTTTGACAAGAATGCCAAGACCATTCAATAGGGAAAGCACAGTCTCTTTAGCAAGTAGGGCGGGGACACCTGGATATCCTCATAAAAAAGAATGAAGGTGAACACTTACTTCAGACCATGCACAAAAATTACAAAGATTGATCAAAGCTCTAAATGTGGTAGTAGAAGTTATAGAACGCTTAGGAGAAAACATGGGGTAAAATCTTCATGGCAAACAATTGACAAAGAAACATTATGTATGGCATCAAAAGCATGAGCAACAGAAAGAGAACAAACTGAATATCACAAATAATAGAAACTTCTGTGCTTCAGAGGATGCCATCAAGAAAGTGAACAGACGAGAGAAAACACTTGTAAATTAGATACCTGATAAGGGACTTGCATTTAGAAGATATAAAGAACTCTTAAAACTCGATAATAAAAAGACTAATAACCCAATTTAAAGTTAGGCAAAGGATCAGAATAGACATTTCTCCAAAGAAGATATACAAGTTGTCGGTAGGTGCCTGAAAAGATGGTCAATATCACTAGTCATCAGGAAAATGCAAATCAACACCACAGTGAGACACCACCTCACACCCACCAGGAAGGCTAGGATCCAGCAACGAGACAGTAGCAAGTGTTGGCAAGAATAGGGATAAACTGGGAATCTCATGTATTGCTGGTGGGAATGTAAAATGGTCCAGTCACCTTGGAAAACAGCCCAGTGACGCCTAAATGACTAAGTAGAGTTACCACCCGACCCAGAAACTGCACTCCAGGGATATGCCCAAGAGAAAGGAAAGCAAATTTCTGCACTGAAACTTGTGCATGAATATTGCAGCAGCATTAAGGCAGAAAAAAACCCAAATGTCCATCGATGGATGAACAAAATGTGATGTTTCCACAGGATGAAAAATGGCTGGGTCATAAAGAGGGAAGAACTGACACACTATAACAAAGATGGACCTTGAAAATGTGCAAAGTGAAGGAAGCCAAACATTGTACCACATGCTTTGAGACCCTATCCACGTGAAATTCCAGGATAAGGAAATCTATGGACAGAAAGCAGATCAGTGGTTGCCTGGGGGGGGGGGGGGGGACAGGACAGGGAGATGGAGGAGTGACTGCCCAAGGGCATGGGGCTTCTTTTATCTATTTAGAGATGATAGTCTCCCTATGTTGTTCAGGCTAGTCTTGAATTTCTGGGTTCAAGTGATCCTCTGGCCTCAGCCTCCCAAAGTGCTGGAATTACAGGTGTGAGCCATTGAGATGCGGCTTCTTTTGGGAGGATGAAAACATACAGATGGGTGGGGGTGATGGCTGCACAACTCTGTGAATACACTGAAAATTGCTGAATTGTACACTTTAGACGGTGTGAATTGTATGATATGTGAATCATATCTTAATAAACTATTTTTAAAAATATTTAATTGCTGGGCAAATTCCAGAGCATGTGGCTGGACCGCTGGAACGAGGGGCAGTGAGTCTGCAAGGTCTGGGTGGGGTACCAGGTTGGGGGATCGACGCTTCTGAGGCATCTGCTGATGGAACAGGAGACACAGTCACCTACCAGGAGGGCTGGCTGCATTTCACCCTCTGACCTCTACCCCTAGGAGTCCCCCCAAAGCCACAAGCCTCCTCTGTCTAGAGCAGCCTGACTCAAGGTAGAACCAGCTCCTGGATCATCAGGTGACTTCTTTTTGCCGTGGAAGAAACTGAGGAAATGTAATGACACTTGAGAGGACACAGCCAGGTTCAGCAGACTCCCCGCTGAGTCCAGGCCCACCTCACATAGGGGATGGGGAAGCCTAGGGTCCAGGCATCTCTGGGCCTTATCTAGTCCCCCGTGGGCACCTGGCCCTCACAGCTGGTTCCTATGAGCATCATAGGGACCAGTGGTGGATGGTCTCTGCTCTGGCTGGGTCCACCCACTCTCTGTGGCCCAGTTCCTGCCACCCCTGAGGCATCTCCCTCAACTGCCCTCACCACAAGGATGTTCCTGTCCTGCAACCAACCTGGCCTGGCCTCCCATGGCCTCACCCCTGCAGCCAGCATCCCTGGAAAGGGTTCTCTGAGGGGACCTGTGGGCAGAGACCCCTCCTGCGCTGCATGTCCAGGGCTGGGCTGACGATGGTCAGTCTAAGGGAAGGCCCCGTGGGGCACCGCCCAGACCAAAAGTGGGAGAGCCGCTGTGACAGGCAGAGACATGGTGAGGGGTTGGTGAGGCCGGAATGCTTGTCTCTCGGCCTTCTGGAAGGTTCCTTAGGACCAGGGCCTTTCCTTTCCTCGGGGTATGTGTCTCCAGGAGTCCTTGGGTACAGAGCTCCTTTGGCTGGAGGGGCCTCAGATGGACATGGCATCCAACCTCTTTGCAGCTTGGGGCTGACTGGCTCAGAGGTTTTGGAGGTGTCTGAGCCTGCGGGTGGGTGATGGAAGCCTCTTGCTGGCCTGCCACACTGCTCCAGACACCATCCCTACTCCAAGGACTAGTGTGTCTATCCAGTGGGAGCTCCCGCGGTTGTGTGGAGATTTACCCCACACCCCACCCTTGTGTGAAGAGGGACACACACAGCTGCCCCGATAGGGTGAGAAAGCGCCTGAAGTCAGTCAGTCCTTGCCAGAGACAGGACTGTGTCTTCTGTGCTCCCAGCAGCATGGGGGCGAATCAGAAGCAATGGTTTCTGGAACTTTCGACCCCCCGAAAACAGGCCCTGACTTATCCTACTGTGATACATCTGGCCCACTTGGCGCAAACCAGGTCAGGGAGTTTGTTCTACTGGCACACTGACTTTGCAGGGTTTCTGTGATTAGACTCAGAGCTCAACCTCACCCAGCCGTATGCGTGGGCCTTGGTGGGCCGTGTGGTACGAGAAGGTCCTAGTGCCTCTGACCCACCCTTGTGGCCACCAGCACGGGGTCCTCACGTGGCATGCCCACTGGGTGGCTCCTCCAGCTTCTGCCCACAGCTCCTGGCGCAGAGGGGCGTTTGGCACCCCATGACTCTCTGTGCTCCCTCCAGCGCCTGATCACTGGGTTAGGCGGGGACAGGGCTGGGAGCAGATCTTGATGACAGCTGCCCATTTAAATAAATCTTTGGGCACATTTCTGACATTTCCGAACAATCAGTTCCCCAAAACAGAATTTCTAGGTCACAGTGCACACGTTCTCTTCAGGCTTTTAAAATGCATCAGTGAGGGGTCTGAGTGAGCTTGTGCTCTATGCCCCGGGATTACCCCAGGCCCCAAACCTCGGCCTGTGGCTGCACCTGTCTACTCTGGGGATTGGAGAGGACCTTGCAGTGGGAGAGAAGGTGGACCCCAAACTCTGGCAGTGCTATTTGTTCCAGGTCAAGCAGGCTCCAGTCTCACAGCCTCCAATAGAGTCTGCTTTGCCCTCAAAACAGCCTCCACGTGGGCACACAGCTGCAGGAACGTCACCCCATGTCCAAGTCACACCCGGGAGGCCCAAGCCATCACGTGCACATAGCTTGGGGCCCTCCCCTAGGGCGTCTGCAGCTCTGCCTGCATCCCGTGCCTGACGCGCCTAGTCTTTTCAGAAATCATGGGTGTTTTCCAGCTCTATGTAGAAAATCTAAAGTAATGACAGAAAGTCCCAGAACCTAGATGTCCCTTTTAGACTCAGGGTAGCAGCCAGGGTGGAGTCGTGTCCTGGGCAGGAACAGCGTGTGGCTGAGGCATCAGGACTACTCAGTTCCACACCCCGCGGGATTCCATGGGGGGATTGATTCCGGGGGGGATAGATTCCATGTAGAGACAGCATTTCATGGGATGATGCATTCTATGGGGGATGGGATTCATGGGGGTGGGGGCGAACTCCATGTGCGGTTAGTCCATCTGCCCACTCAGATCCAGATGTGGTTGAATTTTCTCAGGGGTGCAAATGCCAGGCGTGGGGTTGGGGAGAACCTCACAGGGAGCTCTGGGAGGAAGGCGAGGGAGGGAGGGGGTGAGCAGGGACCTCAGGCATGGGCAGGAGGGGCCTGCAGGAAAATTGAGGTCTTGGGTGGCTTCTGGTCTCTAGCTTAATAGTGGCAGGGAGAGGCTGGCCTGTGCAGGGGCCAGTGGAGCCACAGGGAGGGCCCTGCCTGGGGGAGGCTGTGGGAAGAGAAAGGGTGGCAAGAAATGGGGTTTTGGAAATGGAAAGTCAGGATTGGGGATACCTGGGAAGAGACCAAGGAGGGGTCCACAGGCTGGAGCATGCAGCTACGAGTGGACCTGCCTATGGGAATGCCAACAGCACATCTGTGCTGAACTGCAGAAGGGCCACAGTTGCCAGGATGGGCCTGGCACCAGTGTCCTCCACTATGAACAGGAACACAGCACCGCAGCCTGCAGGCATATTTTGCATTCACATGCTGGAGTCTCTCCAGGGCACCTGGGATGGGATTACACCTGGGGGGTGGGATTCTGCAGGGAATATCTGTTAGACACTGCTGAGTTGTCCCCTCAAATAGCTACACATATGCATCTCCCTCCCCCTGATGAGAGGCTCCAAGGTCACAGCTGCAGGCTGAGGTTTGGGGCCTGGGGTAGTCCCGGGGCACAGAGCACAAGGTCACACAGACTCTGCACTGATGCATCTTAACAGCCTTTAGAGTGCATGTGTGCTCTGACCTAGAAATCCTGTTTTGGGGAGTTGATTGTTGGGGAATATCGGAAATGGGCCCAAAGATATTACTGGAGTTCAGCTGAGTTTTGACAACTGCAGCGTCGTGTAACCACCACCACGGGGAAGTCACAGGATGGCCAACAGATTCCCTCATCTGCCTTGTACAGCCAGATCCTCCCCCAGCATGGCCACCACCGACTCACCCCATGGTCTTTACCAGGATGTCACGTCAGTGGCATTACACAGTCATGGCCTTCTGGGGCTGGCTTCTTCCACTTAAGTGTCATCTGAGACCATTCATGCTGACTTTCCTCCAGTTTGCTGTCTTTTACTGCCGATGTCTTGTAAGGATGTGGAGAGTTTACTCAGGCATCGGTCATCCACCCGTGTACATTGTTTCTGGGTTGGGCCTATTACAAACACAGCTGGAGTGAGCGTTTTCACATAAATCTGCATCGGGACACACCATTCTTTCTCATAAATCTGAGTGGACTGCTGGGTCCCGTGGTACGTGCACACTTAACTTCACATCCATCCACACTGGCGGCACCACTTCCCATCCCCACAGCAGGGTCTGGGCATTGGTTCCCTGCATTTTCATCTGCACAGGTTGTTGTCAGCTTGTTTAGCTTTTACATTACAGCCCTTCTGACACACGTGTGATAGCTTATTGCGCCTTAATTTGGTATTTCCCTGGTAGCTAGTGAGGTTGAGCATCCTCTCAGGTATCTGCCATTCAAGCACCTTTTAAAAAAAAATTCTGCTTTATTTTGCCCCCCCCTCACATGTATGTGTGTGCGTGTGTGTGTATTTTTTTTAATTGTAGAGATTAGGTCTCGCCAAGTTGCCCAGGCTGGTCTCGAATTTGTGGGCTCAGGCAATCCTCTCACCTCGGCCTTCCAAAGTGCTGAGATTATGAGCATGAGCCACCGTGCCTGGCCTCTTTTTTTTTTAATTTTAATTTTAAAGATGGGTACAATTCAGGGTTAGGTATACAAATGGTCATTGTACAGGTAAAGTTTGGGCCTCACTGTAATCCCCGCTTCACCTGGTTTGAGATCAGGTATCCTTGTTCATGAAGTGTGCCCCCGCGTCCTCCTTTGTCAGTTTCCCGCTATGACCAATCCCTTTCTTATAGTATTGTAATTGTTCAGGGTCCTCTTATGAGTGAGAAGATGTGGTACTCAGTTTGTTGTTTCTGTGATAGATCACTGAGTATGACAGACTCTAAGTCCATCCAAGTTGCTGCAAAATTGCTAACTTTTTCTTTCTTTATGGCTGTGTAATATTCCATTGTGTATATGTACCACATTTTAAAAATCCAGTCCACTTTCAATGGGCAGCATGGTTGGGTCCATGTTTTTGCTCTCATAAGTAATGCAATAAACATACGTGTGCGGGTATCTTTTTCATAGAGTGATTTGAGTTCCTTCGGGGATATTCTCAGAAGGGGGATTCCTGGGTTGTATAAAAGGTTGATTTTTAGATCTTTTAGGAATTGCCACACTGTTTTCTACAGAGATTGTACTAGTTTACACTCTAACCAACAGTGTAGAAGTGTTCCCTTTTCCCTGTATCTTTTTTGGTGGTGACTGTTCAAATCTTTTGTTCCCACTCAACCTAAATTGGGTTGTTTTCTTACAGTTGACTTTATACTGTTCTTTATATAGTTTAATTACAAGTCCTTTGTCAGACATATGATTTAAACATATGCTCTTTCAGCCTTAGGCTTATCTTTTCATTCTTCTAACAATCTTTCAAAGATAAAAGTTTCAAATTTTTAAAAAAAGATTTTTTTTAAAGAGGGTCTTGCTATGTTGCCCAAGCTGATCGCCAACTCCTGAGGTCAAGCAATCCTCCTGCCCCTCGGCCTTTCAAAGTGCTGGAATTGTCATGTTTTTTTCTTTTACGGATCATGCCTTTGACGTTGTGTCTAAGAACTCTTTGCTTAACCTAAAAAAGCAAAGGTTTTCTCCTATAAGTTTTATGTTCAGGTCCATTTTGAGATGAAGTGTTGTATAAAACATCGGCAGGGGTTGGCTGTTCCAGACTGTTTTTGAATACGGAAGTTTATTATGGCCTCATTTGTTACAATTCTTTCTCTGCACGTCACCTTTTCACTGTGTTAAAGTTAGAAGCCCAGTCAGTCAGTGTGCTGTGCCCACTCACATCTGTCAAGCCGTGTCCACCCACATCTGTCCTTTCCTCAGAACTGCACTATGTTGGCTGTAGATTTATAGTAAATCTTGAAATCGGGTTGTTTTTCAAAATGGTTCCTTCACCTTTCCATAGAGATGTTTGAATCAGCTTCTTGGTTTTATAAAAATGAAATTCTGAATGGGACTTCACTGACTCTAGAAGAATGGGGGAATGGACATCTTATTAATGCTGAATCTTCCAGTTCATGGATACAGCATGCCTCCCCATTTACTTTGGTCTCTTTGGTTTCTCTGATCAGTGTTTTGTAATTTTCAGCACATAGATGGACCCACACATAAGCTGTGAAACCTATACTCTAAGTGATTCATGTTCTTTGGTGCTATTGCTAATGGTACTTTAAAACAATTTTGAGTTCCAATTGTTCATTGCTAGTATAAAAAATCGATCTTCATATATTGAATCGTGTCCCTTGACTTTGCTAAACTCACTTATTTTTCTTTGTGGTTTTCTTGGGGTTTTCTATGTAGATAGCTCAATTTCTTTCCAACCATATACCTTCTATTTTTCTTGCTTTATTGAACTGATTAGGGCTTCAGTGCAACACTGATCAGGAGGGGTGAGAGTGACATCTTGTGTGAGTCCCAATCTTAGCAGGAAAACATTGTCTTTTGTCACATTTGCTGTTAGTTGTAGGGTTTTGTTTTGGTAGACATTCTCTATTAGGATAAGGAAATTCCATTTGCTGAAAGGGGCTTTTAAAAAATTATGAACGGATGTTGAATTTTGTCAAATGCTTTTTCTAAATCTATTGAGATGTTCAGATGGCATTTTCCTTGGTGTGTTAATATTACAAATTATACTGATTGGACTTTGAACACTGAACCAAGTCTGCTTGCCTGAGAAAAATCTCACTTGGTCACAATGTGTTATCCTGTTTATATATTGCTATTCTTGACTTACTACTATTTTGTTGAGGGGGTTCTACATGAATTTATGAGAGCTATTAGTTTGTGTTTTTCTTTTCTTATCTTTCTCTGGTTTGGTATCAGAGTAAATCAGCTTTAGAATGAGTTGGAAATTGTTCCCACCTCTTTTATTTTTCTGGAAGAGACCATGTAGAACTGGTGTTATTTCTTCCTTAA